GATATCAGAAGAGGTTGGTGTTGTCAATCGTTTGCTACCGCCCAAATTGAATGACTATCATCAAGGCAAGGATGCTGGCGATTTCACCCATTATGGTGAATCTATGCTAATTTTACTGGAAAGTCTGGCTGCAAAGAAAACCTTCCATGTTGAAGATTTTAGACAACGTTGGCAATCTCACTGGAAAACGAGCTCCAGCTATCAGTTCGTATCCAATGATAGTTACTTTTGCAGTTATTCGTATAGATTGCAATGTCTGAAGTAGACTTGCAATGCAACACTCGCTGCGTATAACGCTAACACCTGAAAAGAATGCTGCGTCATTGTTTAGAAAACTTCTCCTAACTTTTTCCTCGACCGATGAAATCATTTCTTTCAGGCTAATTTGACCAAGTTTTACTACATACTATACTCTTAGGCATTGTTATGAATTAGCTTATGTAGTATTAGCGATGTTGATAAATCCTTGAACGTAACTTGTTCGTTATACATGTATTATTGAATCGTGTTTACCAAGGTTACCGAGCAATGGTTACGCGTATCTTATAGCTAATGTTAACGTCCTATCGTGAGCATGACAATTGGCTCTACTTTCAACCACTCCGTTGCATAGCACTGCCTATTATGCTATACTGTACTTGTGCGTGATTGCTGGTGAAGATGTTAGGCAATGAATTGCATTTCTTGCAATGGAGCATAATTAATAATTGACCATGTTATACCTTAAAAGCAATGTCAAATAAAAAGCTTACAGTACAGTACTACGTATACGAGTACAGTATAACTATCTTATCTGAAAGTAAACTATGACAACAGTATTATTTCCTTCTCCTGCTCTTATGGAATGACGTTAACATGATATTGTATCGTTATTTCAGTGACCATGCTACAAAGGAAACGTTAAAAAATCTCGAAGATGGAAAAGTAAAAGGAATAGATCTGAATGATTTTAACCCCGCAGCAAGACAAGTGCCTCTGCTCTTAGTTTCAAATAGCGAGGTAAGAAAGAAGGTTGCTTATGACATAAAACGGTATAGGAGAAAGTAGCAATCGTTATATATTGTTTCCTTCTTATTTGCTGCCATACGAGTACAACTACAATATTCTCAATAATGCTAGGCTGTAATAGACTATCAGACTTTTAGCTCAATTTTAATTTGAACCCTTTGTGTCATCAGGAACAGTTGGTCGAATTTGCAATTCAACACTGCAGAGTAACTCATGAAAATTCAGAAACAGATGCAGCTACGGAATTTGTGTCGAGAGTGTTATGGCGTATCGTCCATCAGCATAAAACACCCTCCACTGCAGTAGAAGAAGTTATAGAAACTTTGAAGAATAAGTACAGCGAAGTTATTGAATTTGCAACGCAGGGATTCAAAGCTGCCCAATTACCCGATGAAGATGCTAATAACTCCTTCCTCGGTACCAGAACGAGCAATGAATTCACACTTCCTGTCGCCATATATTGCTATATTCCAGGAGCACTTCCAATAGCTACTCGACTTATCGTAAAATATGGACATGAAAGCTTTGAGCAGGCGTTGGCCCTCAACGCCGGTTTTGGCGGAGATAACGCTGCAAGATCTCTCTTTGTTGGTAGTGCTCTTGGTGGCCGAGAGAATTTTGAAATTCCCTCTGAATGGGTAAATGGCATTCGTCAAATTGATCATATTAAGCAGTTGATAAATTCTTTTAAGAACTAACAACAAAAATAGATCTCATAGTATCCTGAACAATTTATTGACTGTATCAGAATGATTTTGATATATTGTGACCGTATGCTGTAGATTTTTAGCTTTATCTTGTAGATTGAAAAAACGGAATTTACAGTATAGCGCAATTTTATTTTATGAAATATGATGTTCAGTTGGAAGAAAGCCAGAGACATCTTAGTTCACAGATTTTTATTCATACTTCATGTCTACAGTTCAACGTGTTTGCAGACTATCAATGAATATTGCATGAATTATCGCCTTGCTCCACAGTAATACGAATTTAAATTTATGTCATTAATGATCAGGTTGAAAATGTGCGGCGATTTCTAACGCCTCCAAGCTTAAATTTTAATCTTTATAACTTACTTCAATATATATATATATCCATTGAAATGTAGTTCTACTTTTGCCATTTATAGCATAGACGATGAACCTGTAGAAAATGAGTTATGTATGCAAATCATTCATTTCCATTAGATTCCTATAGAGTATAACAACGGTCAGTAGTAATTCGTGTAAATATGCGTACATTGGACATACTTATGGTTCATGTTACTGGCATTGAAATAGTATTCAATACTACAGTATGTTATTAAAGTGTTATTCACCACATCGGTTGATTCTAATATACGTTATGTTTTGCGGACTCTGCTTTAAGATGGAATAGGCTAAATCGAAGTCCACATGTCACTTATCACAAAGTGTTCGATGAACAGTGTGCATAAAAACAACGGTTGCAATCACTATGCCTAATTGGGATGTCATGCCCATCGAATCTTGCAGCAGCTATTCATTTCTAATACGGTAGTGCAATTGTGTCATGTGTCAAAAATTAGTATCGCGGTTATTTCTTACGCGTACGTTCATTACTGATCAATTCGCTTTCGTGTGTCTACGTATCCTAAATTTTTATTAGAATTCTTGAAAAATCTGTTATAAACTAGTAAACTAGCTATCTTGAACGTGATGTGGGATACATGTACGTATTAGTCTAATGGCGTTAATACTTCAAAATACAGTTTGATTGCATCGAAAAAGCTCCCATTAATAATTTATATTGAATAGGTCATATAACCTATTAAAAACTCGTATAGTAATACAATAGCAATTAGTACGACGTTCGATGAATGATAAATTTTCTCAATATTATGTCATGATCCGCAAAGCCTAGCAAATATTAATTGCTACAAAACTTAGATTCATTTGCATGCATTCCAGGTGATAAAAATTTAAAGTGTCCTGTACCCTATTCATAAACCTCCGATGGATATTGGATAATTGATTTTACCACATTAATACTGCAATAGAATCCACATCGAGCATACAGCTTTTGTCTTTTAGAACATCGAACAAAGTAGCTTCACTATTCTCATCAGCCATGTATCAAATAATTATAGATCAGTGTAGGTATTGTACTTCGAAAAATAGTATTCACTACCAGCAAAGGAGTAGAACCGTAATTTACAAAATATGCGGTAGACGTCAACTACTGCAGACACGAAGACATAAAGTTAAGATGATATCCTTTAATGCCTCTCGAGATGAAGAAATAATACAAAAATGCTAAAGATACAGTATCATGCCGTATAGGAATCTCTATAGCGATAATATTCAACAGCCCAAATCGCTATAAATTAAAACTTGCCATACATGCTATATCGACTATATCCATATTACACAGTTTACCGTGATAATTCGTAATAAACAGAGACAGGCAAGATTATAAAGTAGTATTTTCTAACTATTGAATAATTATTTGCCTAAATATGTTGACAAAGCACTTTCACAGACATTATACATTAGTAGTACCCAACTATCAAGCTTTAGAATTTTGGCTGCTATTAGTAACTTGATAATTGGGAGGTTGTGGTTGAACGATCGCATTAGTAGATGCAGCAACCTGCGGTTGAATGACTGCATTAGCTGGTACTGCAACATAAAATTGTCTACCATCAAGCGATTGAAATATGGTCGGTTGTTGTGAACCTAATCCAGGGTTCATATTCGCAGTCATAGCTATAAGTTTAAAATTAAAGGTATCAAAGTAATTAGAATACAATTTTAAAGTAACTTCAATATGTATTTAGAGAACAGGTAAAGCATATTATCTAGTTAAATAGCTTCTATCCGATTACAATTTTTGATTTGGAGCGCAATGTTAACGCTATTAATACATAGTATAGTTACTTATAAAGAGATTTTTTGTAAACTCATAAAGAATCTACTTGAAAAAGCGATAAAGCAATGCGCACTTGTACAGCAATTTATCTGTACATGAACAGACATATGTATCGGCACTTGCTGATACGCCATTAGTATAACATCATCAATTAAAACATTTTTTTAATTAACCAGCTTATAATCTTACCGGGTTGATTATTAGATTGAGGAATGTGAGGAGCAACTATCTGCTGGTTGTTGGTAATACTTCCATAAGTGTATGGTGTATAGGTCGGAAGACGCTAATAAGTTTCGGAATAAAAAAGGATTAAAATATATGAGCGTCTGAATCTTAGTAGCAGTACAAAAAAATATTAGTAGAGACGTTCATTCGATCACATCCTGGCAAAAGCGATAAAATTGTTATGGATTCTGTAACATAAATACGTTGTGCTAATCTGTAGAATAATGTAATTAATTACCGTCGATGATGGAGTACAGAAGACCCCTTGTGATAGCAATATCATGCATGCCATGGTAAAAGAAAAACCAAAAATAGCTAAAACTGATGATACAATGTTCGACCAAATGGGGTAATAGTATCCGCCAAACATAAAACCAAGCGCGAGACCAAATTGAACCAACGAAAATATAAAGCTGATTATGGTGAAGGCATAATAAGATCGCATCTGAAAGAGACGCAAAAAATATGTGTAAGCATAAAGTGGTACAATACGCTAAAATATATTACTGCTAATCATTTACTTTGCAATAGCTATAACTATCATTACACATGGTTCAGAAATCAGTACGCACTCCATCTATTCGTACTGTATAGGTGACAATTAAGTAATACTGATTGCAGAGTCATTAAATCAACCGTTCCAGGTTTACTGCAGTAAATAAAACAATTTTACTAACTATTATCCTAGGAACATTGCAGAGAATACTTTACTGGATATGTATCATGAAAAAGCTTACCAAGTGAGGACGATTTCCGCCCTTATAGGCTACTATAGCCAGCACACCAGTGATGAAATACTGTTAAATAAACAAATCCACGATGCCTGTGAGTATAAACATGTATACAGTATATATATATATATATACTAGTGCAAACTCCCGTCGCTTTGCTGACGGTTTACGATAATGTGCTCATTTAACAGATAGTATTACCATTTGATAGACCTGTCAGATCACCGCCAATCTTGCACATAGCAAGTTCAGTATGAACACTGACACAAGTACTGTACGAGATTATAATTAAAATATTTAGCGAAGTCTGTGAACTATCACCGCCAATCTTGCACATAGTAAGTTCAGTATGAACGCTGACACAAGTACTGTACGAGATTATAATTACAGTGCAGTAGACTAAATTAAAATACTCTTGAATACAGTACAAGGACTAATCATGATAATGCGACTCAAAGCTGCCAAGAAAAATAAGTAACTTTATTATCAGCGTATCTTTCTCCCGAAGACTCTTATAAGAAACGTAAATTTATTTTTATCGTTAATCGAGTAAATTCCAATATGACATTCGTATACTGTAATTACGGTAATTCACATTTTATGACATTAGCATCAATGATTCAATATTTTACAGCAGATCACTGTAGTTGTTACAAGTCAAAAAATTGCAACCTGAGAAAGGCACAGCCAAGAGACTATACTTTTTACAGTTGAAACTTTTTATATAATAATTTTACTCTATTACTGTAATCTCTACACTCTATCTTTTCTCTTGTTGACTGCAAAGTGATAATTCTCTTTTGTCATTGAGCATACACAAAAACTAGTCTCGGTTTATGCCGCGTTAACCAATATTCGAGTCTAAACAAGTACCGCATGTTTTCTATGTACGAGTATACTGTACATTGTAACATAATAGTAGTCTACATCAGAGCATTGTAATGGAGGATTTTTCAGTACTCTAGTCTGCCTTGATCTAATTTTACAAATATTGACCGCAAAGTAGATTACATGCGTGAACTGCGAAAATTATACTATTAGCCGTTACGAGATTGTTGTTTCATGGACTGTTGTATAAACTTCAAAGTGTCAACTGACAGCTATCACGATACAGTACAGTAGACTAGAACACCTACTTTTGTTTTGGATCAAAGATATCAGTTATACAATTATGATAAATGATAGTAATTAAAAATTTCTTCAGCATTCTCATTACGTATCGCGACCACCCACGTACGGTAATCATATAATTTATCAAACACAGATTGTACAACTAGCAACGTATTAGAGGAAGTAAAAAGTGTGACAATATCATATAGCCATCTCCAACTGCCTATTGTAGTAAAAGATCAATTTAAAAGGAATAAAATAATCCTACTGCAGAGAATAGTAAAAGGGTTAGCAGCATTGTCCAACTATTTTCTATCCATGATTAGTGATGACAAATCACTGATTGGAAACTTACAAATGTGCCGATCCATATATCATGGCCAGTGTAAACGCTACCATTGAGACCATAAAAACTGATAAACCCACATCCTCCGATGATAATACTTGTTAATGCAAGAATCAATAAACAAATCCCCAAGCCTAAAGAGGCAGTTCGATACCGATGCGAAAGCTCGTATATGCGAGGCCCGCCTGGATTGATATTTTCCGACTGCATGATTGTAATTTGTTTTGGAAAAACGAGATCACACTGAAGCAGTAGGCGATAGTTCCAAGAGCTGGAAGCTTTCCAAGTTCAACTATTTGCTAATAAACCTCGAAGTTAGTCCATAGACTATGCCTATAGTATTAACAGTTATCCGGTTCCTACTGAGTCCGGTGAGATACAGTATTAATAGAACCAAACCTTCGGACAAGTGTAGCTGTGTCACACCGTGACTACTACCAGTACCAGTACAGTACCGTATCGTCATCCTTTTAACAGTCGAGACTGCTGAAAGTGACCTACTCGTCCTTGGAACAAAAGTCATGTCACCATCGGCGATTCATTCAGGACATACGACTAGGCTAGTAATGCAAAAACACCTTATGTATCATACAGTGTACACTAAATACTACCCAAGATGCGGTATATGTAATTTGCACACATCAGGTACACTCACCGGAGTACAGTTCAGTACGGAATCGATGATGTCATCAGGTTTACAGTAGTTTTGTTTTCAAGTTATGCTACTTGTACTGTAGACCCCTCGCTCATTGTACTGTACTGTCCAGTACAATACAGCTCAGTATGAAGGCAGGTGGCCGATCACGGACGCCTACAGCAATTTACACTGTACATTTTACAGTACTGTACACTGTACTATGGAACAATACCTCGGATGGACGGACTTTACCGACTAGAGGAGCCAGAAAATGTCGAAATTTGCAATAGAGTAGTTACTTACTACTTAATATGAATCTTCTATGTCTGTTTTCTTATGCACGACTATTATTTTAAAAGCATTATATGATCTTATAGAACGGCTTTCAAGTAGATCTAAGTAGAAAATAACAGCCTGTTATTAACAGGATCACTTAATGTAGGAAAAATAAGCTAATTTATTATACAATCCAACATCTGCATACTGCACTAAAGTAATAACCAATACACGTGCTTGCAATATATTTTAGACGATATGTGGCTAAAATAGTCGTCTGCCCGAAGAGTTTCATGTTTCAGGTTTTCTTCTAGTAATCCATTGGCCAATTAACCTCTTCCAAAATAAGATTCAGTATAGTCAAAATTAGTATACTGTACAGTCTACACTCTCTCTTTCTCTTCTATTTTAGGTACAGTTTCGGATGCACCGTTGTAAAATGACCAACAATCTAATATCCCTCAGTACGCAGCAATTTCAATTTTAAACTTTTCACTCAAAGTCAACAGCATTTGGTAATGTTTATCCTTCGTTGCGGACTTATAGTAACAGTAAATAAACATTTTGCGCTTGCATGTTCTCAAATCTCTGAATCGCATAATAGAGCTGAACTACTGCAATGACTACTTACTTGACCGTTCGGTTGTCACGGTACTACTTTGCCCATAGCTATTAAGTAATCCTTAATTTGTGAATAATGAATAATTCTAAATAACTAGAGAAGATCGGAAGCTTTAATGTTTCATTTTGTTGGTCTTATAGTCAATACCATGGTAGGAGAAATATTAGGGTATATAAAATATATACTATTGCGAGTTAATTCACTAAGATCGTACGATGTGCCAAGCTCTAAATTCATCGAACTATATATGGACGGAGGCTAAGCGTTAAAACGCCCGATCGTTTCTAGCCACCTAGGTTTCTCAATGTCTACACATCAATTTAGTAATTATTTATATACGTTACGGTATTCGTATGTCCTAATAAATGCTTAAATCTTATGAATTGATTACCTTTACAAATAAAATTTATTGAAACTATCTTATGCAGTGAAAGAATGCATACAGAGTGTTCTAACATTAATGTAGACGAGTAAATGTTACAAAATAATAAGGAAAGATATTTACGATAACCTCCAGAGAAACCCTAACTTGATATTATCATGTAACTTTTCTTTTAAAAGGCGTTGTTCGAGTCGTATCAGTTTTCTAATACAGAGGAATTCCATTCCTTTCTTATGATGAAAATCATCGATTTTAACAACGATCACGTAGCTTTATTTTCTACTGTAAGATTTTAACTACACATATAATTCGGGCATTAGCCAACGTGAATTCTATCCATGGTACGGTGTAAGACATAGTCAAGCATCGTAGTTTTAAGTCCAGTAACACCAGAACCTGACCGTTCATTCACGGGCCCAACCTCAGGCCGATATGAAATTCGCGGAATTTTATATTTCCAGTATAATAGTCTCCAAATAGGAATACTTTTCAAGTTTAACGTCAATTTATCAATATAATTCAATCTTGAAACAGACAACTATGATGTGAGTCATGAGAAAGGCTGACCATATAAATTCTCACCGAAATTGATTCATACTTATAAGCTAATCATGTGTCTGTGAAGTATTCTGAAAAATAACTAAATCCCAAAGGTATTCTACAATGTCCTAAGAGATTAGTAGCTTTGTCACTCTTGACAATAAAACAAAGCTAGTAACAATTAGTCAACAACACAACCTTAATAATACAGCCAAAAATTATTTTTCTTTAATCCTTCACACTAAATTTATACTCATTTCTGCAACATTTAAAATGTAAAATTACAGAATCAATGTTTTTGCTATGGTGTACAAATGCCCGTCATTGATTACAATTAAAAATTTCTCCAGTATACCTCAGGGAATGCAAAACTTTGCATGCTTTTCCTGGATTAACAACTACAGTAAATAATTCGCTATGGTAACGATTAATTTTGCTATTACAGCAAGGAGTCTCAAGCATTTTAACCGCCCTCCAGCAACAGGTGATAACGCAAAGTGCAAACGAATGAATAAACTGGCATTTAATTGAAACGTACATTCCTTCAGTCACGTCTCTCATTTTATTTATTGGTCCCTGTATAACTTTTAACTATTTTTTTTACTTAAATCCTGAAATCGAATTTTTTAATAGCAACTGACGGTACGCTTACCAGAGCACAGTGAGTCTCCAATTTGAGGAATTGGTTGATAACCGATCGAAATCAATTACTGTAAGTTTTAAAGATACAACATGTACAGATCCAAAGTCATTCAATTCTATTCGTGAATGATAAATTAATCACAGCGATATAACTTCCAGGCTGATAATTTACTCAGTTCTTGCAAGACAATACTAGCTTTCCAAAGCAGTAGCGTATATACCATCTTTTTAAATTCTGCTACATCCAAATTTATACTGTTTCCTCGCTAACACATACTCCATAATTTCATAAATTGATAACTCGCCGTTTGCATTACTGTCATGATGAAATCTGGTCCTGATTTCTTAACCATTTTATCTTTGAATTTTAAGAGTCGTTCCATCCTAAATATAACGTAATGAAAGTAGCCATCATTGGTGCTGGTGCCAGTGGCTTAGCTAGTCTGAAAGAATGCCTCGATGAAGGAATTGAACCAATCGTATTTGAAAAGGAAGAATATATCGGTGGATTATGGAAATATTCAGGTTTAATTAATTTAATAGATTATGATAGGGCCGTCAACAAGTCGACACTTGTAATTTGTTATTAAACAAAAACATATATACGCACATTATCGAAGAGCGTGGTTGATCAGAAATAACTATTTAGAATTGATTAGTATCACAGTACAGAGATAGGAATATCTAAATTATATAACGATCCATAAACTTAGGATGAATAGTTTAGCGTAGCCGAAAATAGACTGTTTCTTAGAAAAAAAACAGGTTTCTAAAGGACGGCAGATGTACAGTTCTAAAAATATATTTGAGCCTCTTAAGAGACTTGTATCCTACCCTACGTTCATTAAAGAATCATTATTAAATTAATAGAGCTCGTTGTAAGTTCATTCTATTTTCATAAAGTTGTGCGAAAACATTTATTTAAAAATTCTCTTATTATAGTTACTCAATATAAAATTTAATTTTAATAATCATTAAAAGCACTAGTAAGAGTAGAAAAGCGAAACTAAAGAGAATTTAATCTATTTTAAAATTTCAACCAACATTTACATAACATAATTCAATATCGAAATCTGTAATGAGGAAAGTTAAAACTATTATAGAAATTATCCTACGAGTCTACTGTCAGGTTTGTCATCCCTGACATTAACCTACTTTGCGACTCTAGATTCTGGCGATCTCCTACGTTAGGAGGAACAGTAACGCAGCATTAGTCTCTCGGAGACATAAATGTACCCAAACTTTATTGAAAAAGCCAGTCAGTTTATAGTAAATAGAAATAAACATTAATAATCAGTTTATACATAATAGTACTATGCGGTTATCTATTAAAAGTATGTATAACCTCATAGATAAATTAATCTAAGTGCATTCTTAGATAAGTTGTCTTATAAAAACTATACTACGATATGTATGCAAAAGTTTCTACGTAACGATGGCCTAACAATTTTAAACCTGATCACATAGTACTACATTATACGTGTACAATGGTACTTCAATACTCCATATGTTGTCGCAGATAATTGTGAAAGAACTATAGTAGCTATCTTTATCGGTTAAAAGCACCGATCTATAATTTGAGTAATGATAAGTGATGAGTAAATTAACTAGTTGCTCACCAATACGCAAATATCGATTACAATATTATTAATGTAACAAGTTAACGTTTCAACGTCATGTACTTTATAATAAACGACTAAATTGGATGCTAATTAATTATTGAATTTCTCATTTATTAACATAATAATCATCTTTAATTATCATCACTTTTAAAATATAGAAAAAATTGGCAAAGGTGGAACTGTCTACCGTTCCACAATCATCAATACTAGTAAAGAAATTATGGGTTTCAGTGACTTTCCAGTTCCAAAAGACTTCGCTCCATTTATGCATAACAGGAGTGTTATTGAATATTTTGAACTGTGAGTGATATATATTCTTATCAAAGAATTACAAAGCCTTGCATATTAATTATTATTAGTAGTACTATTAGTTAGTGCTATGCTATTATTAACACAGCCAATCTATAGACTAATTTAAATAATGATCATATTTCAACATACTTAGACTTTTTCTTGTTTAACATATTTCTTATACTATGCTATTTAATTCGATGATGAAGTTGTGCTAATTTTCTCTGAAAGCCATATTAATTTTAATCATGGTATAGGTGTTAATTTTCCCATAGCATTAACTAATGCACAGCGTGAGCATTCTAAGTATACCAAGTAAACGCAATTAAAATTCACCAATCGATTCCTAATCTTTAAAATTGTTATACATATTTCAAAGATATGCCAAAAAATTTAAATTGCATCAGTACATACAATTCAAGACGTACGTCCATGATATAAGGCCCGCAGAGGATTACATCAAATCTGGCAGATGGAATGTAACTATCAGCCACACTGAAGGCACTACAACTACAAGGACCACACAAACATTTGATAGTGTTATGATTTGCTCAGGACATCACTGGGATCCTAGAATGCCGTCATTTAAAGGAATGGATGTGTTTAAAGGAAAGCAATTGCACAGCCATGACTATAAGGATCACCAAGGTTACCTTCGTTCGAGCAAATAAATTTAACGTATTAAAAAAAAGTGAAGTCCATAAATGATTTAATTGCCGAAAGTGCAATATCTTAACGTTGTCTATTCATATAATCTGCTATACCTTAGCATATATTCCGTATTTATAGACTGATTTTTAATCTTTTATAGGTTTCGAAAATGATAGAGTTGTGGTTGTTGGAATTGGCAACTCAGCTGTCGACGTTGCTTGCGAATTGAGTCATCACTGCTCACAGGTTTATCTCAGTACACGACGTGGAGCATGGATATTTCCACGTATTGGTTTCGGCGGTACACCTTTCGATTTTCAATTCAACCGCTTTGTAAACATGATTCCAATATCAATAATGAAAATCATACTGGAAAAGTATTTAAATAGCAGATTCGATCATGATAAATATGGCTTACGGCCAACACATCATACCTTAGCACAACAACAAACTATTAGTGACGAATTGCCAGGTAATAGCATTCCCCCAAAAAGTATCGATATCAAACAGAAGCGGAAGACTTTAACAATCATTTTATAATTGAGCCAATATGATCATAAGAATGCTTGTGCTGGTTTCCAAATAATATAGACTAACAAGATTTTAGAAGATTATATTGTGATTAATTGCATCCTTAATTTCAACACGTAGAAATAACTACATGATTGACTTAAATCATCTTAAAAATACTTTTATAAAAATTAATACCTTGACACATACATATCTGCAAAATATTGATCACATAAAAACAAACCAAACACTCAATCTCTAAATTTTATTATGACAATAATTAATTTCAACGATAACTTGACTATATAACTGTGCTAGCAATAGTTTAAATGCAAATGGTAGACAATGTTTTTCGTAGTAAATCATAGATTACAAGCTACAGTTGTCTGCAATGCAGATGTGTAGCGTACGGCTATAATAAATTTTATACTACTTTCTAGGTATTTATCAATGATTTTAAAATACTTTCATTTAATATTATAGTTCGCATCGTCTGCGGATCAATTAAAATTAAAGATGATATTACTTGCATCGGTGAACATGATATCAAATTTGCTGATGGCTCCACTGAGACTAATATTGATACAATTGTCTATGGCACTGGTTATAAGTTTGGCTTCCCATTTATGGATTCATCTATTATTGAAGTCAAAGATAATACTTGTAATCTTTACAAATATATATTTCCACCCGATCATATGCACGCAACATTGGCTATGGTTGGCTTCATTCAGCCAACAGGAGGCGCAATTATGCCTATGGCAGAAATGCAAGCACGATGGATTACCCAAGTCTTTACTAAAAAATGCCAACTACCTTCTCAAGCAGAAATGCTAGCAGATATAGAAAAGAAGCGTAGGGAAATAGCTGATATATATGTTAAATCGCCTAGACATACAATGCAGGTAACTCAGAGTTTATAAATTTTGATTTATATCATATACATGTTACCACTTCACTACATGAGCAAAATTCGCTAGTTATAAATCAAATAGTACAAAACTGCATGATAACACAAGAAAGTAAATACTCGTAAATCACTTCAAATTACTCCAAAGGCAGTTAAGCAGGAATGAGTAATGCACTATATATTTCTAGACTACTATCGTACAAGTAAATTACAACTCTAGCCAGGGCGTAGAGCTAGCATGATAAATAGTGAATTATTACTACTGCTACTTTTCGATTAATAACAAAAAAAAAGCTAATAGCATATTGTCGTCATCATAACAAAACAATAAATTCAACATTATTATAAATTATTCGGTAAGAAAATCTATCCAGCTTGCAAGAATTAGTTTAATTCTTTTATTTGTGATCTAGTTGCACAGCGATACGGTTCGCTTAAAACGCAGTTATTTTAAATCGTAATTCTAAAAATATTTTTTTAACTGAAGTCGATATAAATCATTTGAATTAGGTGGATTATTTAGAGTTCATGGATGAGCTCGCCGACCTAATCGGTTGCAAGCCAAACTTTTTATCTATCGCCTTTACCGATCCTAAGCTAGCGCTAAGATGCATATTTGGTCCGTGTACACCGTCACAATTTAGATTATGTGGACCGCATCCTTGGGATGGTGCAAAAGAAGCTATTAGAGATACAGATAGAAATTTTACTGCAGCTATACGTACACGCCAACTCAAGCAAACTGTAGAGCATAAAAATAGAAAGGTCTTGATGTTACTTCTAGAAGCCGCCATCATTCCTATTGCATATTTATGTTACCTCAAAGGGGACACTATCAAGGCAAATATTATTGACGCTGGTAAATGACATATTATTTCTGCGTTAACTTTGCCATTAAGAAGATAAAAGCTGGAAAAACGTTCTAATTACCGCATATATTAATTCTTTTTTTATTTCTGGTCAATTTAGGTGAAGTTTTAGCTTCTCTCTATTATCGTGTCAGGGAAATATTCTTAAAATAGCTGATGATAGCACGAAATTACTAAATTGTTAATTTAAGGGAAGAACGAGCAAACTATTATAATAATAGCAGCATACGCGTATTTCTCAACTTCATAAAGCCCATCTTCATCTACTTTAGTATTACAATATACCAAAAATCCTCGATTAAAACATCTTTTCGGAATAATTTCTTCGAGATATTTAGCGAACTCTTGACTAAGAGTTAGCCCTCGTGAATTCCAGTAATATACGAAATAGTTCAATCTGTAACTTATTGCTACATTGCCATAGCTATAAAAACACTATTCTTGCTATTAGCTTATTATTTCGGGGCTTCATAATATACTTTACCCTTCGTCCCGCAATGTACCGGTATAAACTTCACTTCTACGTAGTAAGTATCGAAATTAATAGCATTTATTAAACTACCGATAACAGCGCTAAAGATTGCAATTGTAAGTTCGCAGTTGGTTGCAAACTGAATATTTATCACAAGTTCTAGCTACAATCTTGATTCATTTTAGCTTGGTAATATACGTGCACTCTGCGTTCTGACAGTAAATACAACAGCATTTACGTAATAACAAAGACATTAAGCATTATTACTCCGTAGCGAAATGATTCGATATTCAAGTTTTATGTAATACCATATTTAACCCTTTTAATTAAACACGTTAGTGATAATAGAAAATTAAAAAGCAAGTATATGGATACAATATTTAAAATGCTGAATTTTTAATGGCAATGGGGCCTCAATTTAATAACTAATCCATTAACAAACTTTAAGATTTATTTATTAGATAAGTTTACAAAAATTGCCTAGGCTTGTGAGATCTGAAAAGCATCTCGATGTTAGTAAATGAAGTATTTTTTAATTCTTCGTACTTGAAAGAATAGTTTACGGTGACTTAATAAATTAAAGGCTAGTATCTACCGCTTATAGCTAGTAATGTTTCCTTTGCAGTAGAGGATAGCAATAGGTATATTTAATGAATGAATCTTGACTTCACAAGTAAGGGGCGTATTGTCGATGTTTGAAAAGATTTAATTTTCAGATGTTGCACCTTCATACTGTATCTCTTAAATAAAAAACTCACTTTCAGCATAATTATGCAATACGTATGATCGAAAGAACGCAAAATTATGTTATAAACAGAAGAGGACACCAGTATTTTATAATTAATGCCCCATTTTTGCAATAAGCCAGCATAATTAAATTTTAAATCGAACGAAATAGCGAATTCGGTAGAAACTCTGGCATTTAGCTCATACCCAAACACATCTTATTATGTCCTTGTAATCAAATTTAAATATTTTACCCATACTGTACAATATTCAGTTTCTTCCATTATACTGTACCAATGCTAGACCCTATCATCTTTTTTAGTAATCCAGCTCGAAGGAAACTCTCTGTGAAAGAATACAGTGCATTTCCTAAAATCAACCAATATAAGCATTGGCATTTAAATCAAAATAGCCTAGTATAAATATAGTACATAGGTTCTCCTAAAACTCTGTTACATTGACTTACCTACCAACTTGATCTATAATTGCGAGTATATGGTAGTCTTTACAGTTAAAAAATTATGTTCTTCATGCATAATGCTCTGCTTTATGAAAACTTTGACTAGATATTAGAACAACATCAAGATGATGAATGTTCAAAATGAAAAACTATATACGTATTGCCCCATTGGTGTACTAATTGTAAATGGCAACTAAATCTCAATCCTCCGAGATATCGAACCCTCCATCACAATAATAATACAAGCTAATCCTTATGCTATCCATATTCTCTTGCCGTATCTCTAATAGTATTGATAACTCTTGATACATCAGTGTTTAAAAAAACTTACACTAAGGTATGGAGTTGTTACTAGGAAAACTAGATTCAACAGTTAATCCTTCCATTTTCACATTCCTTAATACGGTATTGAATTTTTGAAGTTCAGAGTCAATTTTCTTTCTATTTACTTTATTTTATAGGATAAATGTAGCAATATGCATGTTGCTCGGCTTAAAATTAAGTGTTTAAAATGGTGAAAGTGCCAAGGGATTTAGGGATTCCATGAAATCGTATTCATATAAAATATAGAGTATTTCGGGCCTATATCGTAATAGGTTAGCGCTATTAAGGTTGATTCCTATACATACCTATTTTAACGAGTCTTATCAGCAATGTACCTTAAAATACTAAAAAGATATAGTTAGCAACTAAGAAACTAGTTGCATAATTATGAATTGTTATAAGAACTTAACATCGTCTGTAAACTAGTACTTAAAAATACTTAACTTAAAATGATTAACTTCTATAAATAATAAATGAACCTTTTCAGTAAAATTTGATTATCCGATGAGGTGAAAGAAATTATATTTCGTCTATCTTATAATAATTTTTAGCCCTATGTATCCCTTTACTGAGA